GGAGGGGAGGGTGAAGGGAGGGTGGGGACAAGGGGAAAAAATGAGAACCAGGACCTGGCATGTAAAGGTACAAGATCCCAATAATGAATGTAACTGTACTGTCTACCTAGAATGTACCAATAAATTAAATAAAAAAAAAAGAAGTGTGGTATGGGTACACAATGGAGTATTACTCTGCCATAAAGAAAGATAAACTTGAGACGGCCATAGGTAAATGGATGCAATTTGGGACCAGGATATTAAGTGAAATAAGACAACTTTAAATATTGCAAGCTTTCTCACATATAAGAAACTCACATCTATATATTTGAGGAAGGGAGAGAGAGGAAGAGAGAGGGAGAAAGCAAAACAGAGGATAGATGAACAGGAAGACAGGAAGTAGTGAGATGTTTTTCAAAGGGATGGGGGAGCAAGAGATGGAGGGAGGGGTCACCGAAGGGAGGGAAAAGAGATGGAAAAAAAAAGAACTGAAAGAAAAATGATGAAAATGGAGCTTCTACAAATGAGAAGGGGACCAAGGATTGGAGGGAAATAATAGAAGACGAAGAAAATAAAAAGAATTAAGATGTGTTATGTACATGTACCAATTCCACATGACAGATATAATTACTGTGCACTGCAAACAGGTTCTAATAAATAGACACTGCATTGCCATCCATCCTGCAAAAAGTTCCGCTTCACTTTAAACACACTCATCCTGTTGTTCTTTTATTTATTTATTTATTTATTTTTCTTTTGGTTTTTTGAGACAGGGTCTCACCTTGTAGTTGAGACTGACCTGGAACTCACTAGGTAGCTCAGGCTGGTCTCGAACTCACAGCAGATCCTCCTGCCTCAGCTTCCCAAGTGCTGGGATCAAAGGCATGTGCCCCCACTCCCGGCCATCCCGTTGTTCTTGCCACTTTGTGAAGCGGTTCTGAAAGTCCTCTTCTGCGTCTTTAGTTGTGCTGTCCTGCCTGCCTCACTGCCCTGAATTGTTTCTAAAACATTTACCTTTCACATTCATTTTGACCATGAGGAACCGTCAGAAGTTGTGCGTTGCCGGATCCTGTGAATACAGCATGTTTTTACAACCCTTTCCCCTGGATGGTACCTGGCAGCACCATTTGCTGCATTTTTCACCACACCTCATAAGACACTCACAAAAGAGGACCTCCAGAACTGCTTCAGAAAGCGGCAGAAGACAAGTGTGCTCAAAACAAGGCGCATTAATGACAATGTCTTTTACTATAATAAATTTTAAAAATAACATTCATCATATTTTTAATCATATCTCATAGCATTCAACAGTGCTACTTGTCATTTTCATAGGTGGGCAGTGGTTACACCTACTGTTGTTGCTAGACCATGGAGGTACAAGTTTGACCAAAACACCGTTTCTGACCTCAAAGACCTTTCTTTAAAAAATGGAGTTGAAACAACAAACTGTAACATGAGTGCAAATAGAATGCTACTGGAGCAGAAACAGAGTCTTTACTTCTGGGGGGCTTGGTTTCTCTAGAAAGATGACCCCGAATGTGGGTCTTAAAGGGTAGGTTAGAATTTCACGGGAGGAATCTGGAGAGAGTGACAAGGGCCTTCCTGTCCCTGGCAACAGGTTTAAGTCGAGATTTCAGTGCATGTGTGAGAAACAGCGAATATTCTTGGCCAAAGTGCTGAGAGGGGCTTGAAATGAGTGCCCCGAGCAAGCTGTGAAGTGTGCGGGGCCTTGGGGTCTCTACTGTGTCCTGTGTGCAGTGCGGGAGTCACTGGAGGTTTCTGAGGGATGGATGCTGGTTAGAAATACTTGGTAGTTGCCTGAGAAGTTAAAGCAGAATTAAAGTAGCAGGGGGGGACTGCTCGGAAAAGGCCAGCTGGTCTCCCCTGGGTTTAGTAGGCCCCACCCAAAGGACAGCAAGCCAAAACTCCCAGGAGAGGGAAGGCAGACACACATGCACACCAGAGAGGGCGCCCTCCAGGCCTGGACGGTGCGGTGCAGGAAGCAGGCGGCTGGGCACCGGCAGGACTCTGGCGTCCTGCGGGGGAGTGGTAGGGCAGGGCCAAGGCAGCGACAGGCCTGTGGGCAGGCAAAGGAACAGGAGAATTTCAACATCTTCACAGCCAGCACAGCGCTCCCTGCTCCTCTTACTCAGGGCTGTTTCTCCCCACACTGTGTGCCCTCAGTGTAGGGGTCTTTGTCACTGGCCGGCTCAGAAGGACCACGGCCTCCTCTGTGGCCGGCCAACCCCCCTTCAAATCAGCAAGGGCAACCATCTGCACCTAGTACCGTACAGTCAAGGTGCCCTACGTGGTCCTCTCAAGGGACTGCATTGAACAATGAACCGTGGGGGTTTTAGATGGGTCGTTCCCTTTCTCTCGCTTTACTCTGCCAACATCTGCATGTGCAATAATGAGAGAGGAACGTTTTAATTCACTTTTTAAAACGACGCTGTGGGCTGCTTTGGACTTTAACGGGACACGGCGGACTCTTTTGGAGTGTGTATCTTATTTCATCTAACTCATTTGGTAAGATGCATATTTCTCCCCGGTGTAGTAAAGGAGGAAAAAGAAGGTTTTGAATAGGTTATCCTTCTTTAATACATGAAGACCTTTAACTCTTGAATCACCAAGAAAGTTATTTGAAAGTGTGGCTAAAATTTAAATCAAGAGAAAAGTCCAGACAAGGAGAAATCGCATTTGAGCAATGAGCGCGGCTCGGATTACCTCGGAGGCGATAGAGGTGAAGCCGCCACTGAAATGCACGTGCTTCCGGATCTCGCTGCCGTTGGCTGTCAGGAGCCAGTCCCCGAACGCCTGGTCTTTGCCGGCTGACTGGTTGCCGTGGCTCTGGTTGGGCAGGAGCCCGGCCAAGTCCCAGTGGTACGACGGTATGGCTCCGATCAGGGCGATGAGTATGGCTTCCGTGGCCACGTAGAGCTGCAAGGGGGAACACACGAGAGCAGACGCTGCAGGCTTCACCTGAGGAGGGGAAAGGTCAGGAGGCCCGCAGCCCTTGCAAGGTCTGTTTCTTGCTTTGGAGTTCGGAGCCTCACAGGAGACCACGCAGAAACACGGCGGAGGGAGCTTCCCACCCTACGGGAAGTGGGACCGTCAGCGCACTCCACCTGCGGAATCCTTTATGAGTTTTCCTGCCATGTCTGGGATAGATCTGAGACCAAAGACTCCGCTCCTACGGTCTGACGCTGGAGGCCAGGGACACATTATTGGCTCTGATTTAAAAGGACTGAAATCCCGGTTATTTCCTCCTCCAAACTGCATCTTCCGCTCACACCAGCACTCACCAGGGGCTCAGGAGCTCCCTGGCCTAGGACTTGTGACCTGGGCAAGACTGAGTGCGACACAGTTTACTGTCTCTAAACATACGAAATGTATTAAATAGCCTATAAATATATTAAAGCAATTAAGCCTAATCTGTACTTCGAGTAGATACAAAAATTCATCGGATTTAAAGACGTCCAAAACTCCAGGTATAAATGTTTATTTCATAACCATTAGCTGTAATTTTAAAAACTTGGTTTAATTTAACTATAGTGGTCTTCCACCATAAAAGCAAATATTCCACCGATCTGTTCTACAACTATTTATTGAATACATTTATCATTTGTCACTGATGGTTCTGGGCTCTGCAACCACTCACAACTAGGCTTACAGGCTGCCAAGCCCCACGCAGCCATGGTACACTAGGGTTTTCCATTTATTTAGTTCTCACTGTTGGAAGATTATTTCAAGTTTAGAGTATATTAAGAAAATGCCTAATTAGTCTGCTCTAGAGGGAAAAGATCTTACTTTAAGAAACCATCCTTGTGAACTCTGAACTTGATAAAAACATAGGGAATGTCTGAAAACTGCAAAGCATGGAATTTCTCTAGGGCGTGTGATAGGAGCCCGCGGGACGGGTGAGCTGACCGAGGTATATCTCCGTGCAGAGGCTCCTCCAGAGCGCTCTCTCCAGGCTGCAGAGAATTCCAGTGGGGGCCCCTTCCGCACCCTTCTGCGGGGGCTCATTCGGCAAAGTGGATAAGCGAAGAAGCCAGGGGCAGAGTCATTTATCATCAGGAGATGATGGAATTACTGTCAAGGAAAGAGAAAAGGAGTCGCGACACTGTATGCATCACAGAAGAAAGCTAATGTAAAACGCAGGATGTGATCTGCCCCTCCCGAAGGCTGAGAGGATGGATACAAGGCAGTCCCAATCTGCTCCGAGCGGATTGACCGTGGGCCTCTGGAGACACGCAAAGCTGCCACAGGCCAGTATGCGCGGTGATTTACGGTAAGATGCGAAAGAAAACATGTTGCCCAGTTTACATGCTTCCGGCCCCTATTTGCATACGATTAAGAATGCTTTAGAATAAGAGGCAGTAAGCTTATAAAAATAAAAACCTTCATAATTACAAGAACAGATAGATTACACGTTGAGCAGGAGCAATAATTACAAAGTCATTTCCCTGTGTTTAGTGACTGCCCTCCCTGATTACAATCTTCTGGGGTTTAACTGATGGGTATAAAGAAACGGAAAACATGGGGCAAGAGAGCTCTTTTCTGAAATGACTCAAAACACATGCTCTGCTGAATGAACAGTCTTCAATCGGGCAAAGAAAACTAGCCATGTATTCTCTCTAAACGAGCTCTTTCTACCTCTGTGCACGTCACTCTCTCGATGTGGAGGCACCTTCTACAATGAACATCTGAACTTTCCCCATCCGAGGAGATTCAAGTGCAGACTGGGCCTTCCTTGCCATCTGCCTTCCTCTGCAGCCCTCCAGACAGCTTTTCCTGCTTCTGCTCACCCACAAAGCTCCACATAAACTTCCTAGAGCCCACGTTACTAGAAAGTAATGCTATGTACTTATGTCTATCCACCTTTGGCTTCCAAAGCAAACACACCGCACTAAGGACTGAGCGAGTGGTAAGGGTGGGACACTAATGATAACAGCACATGCTTCTGCAGTGCTAACCATGTGCCCATAGTAGTCCCGGGTCCTGCTGGGTGTATATGAAAAAGCCCTATTTTTATCGTAATTGTTCTAGGATGTGCAACATTTTAAGTAAAAGGGGAACTGTTTCAAAGGGTCCTCTAATCTGAGTCATGTGTCATTATGAAGGCCACTGCTCTAGGCAAACACAATTTACACAGCGTGGTTAAAAAGGCAGAATTAGCCAGGCGTAGTGGTGCATGCCTGTAATCCCAGCACACTGGAGGCTGAGGTAGGAGGATCGATGTAAATTCGAGACCAGCCTGGGCTACATTGTGAGTTCCAGGTCAGTCTCAACTACATAGTGAGACCCTGTCTCAAAAAACAAACAAACAAGCAAACAGAAAAAGAAAGAATTAATGCTGATATATACCTTTCTTCATAATGCAGCAAACAGGGAAACCTAGTTTATCAGAATTATCCCTATTAATTGGTATTAACCAGTTCCATTCTTAGCCACCTGCAGGGAGAGTACACATTTTCCATTTTTCTGTCCTCTGCCTGACCTGCACAATGTCTTTCTAGCCCATCTAATGCACAAGTGTGAACACACACGTACACACACACATACACAATCCTCAACAGAATACACAGGGCCACAGAAAGGTAAGAAACTTGCAACTCTTCTGTGCAATGCCAGTCTCCACAAAACCTTAAGTCTGTGGTCTTGCTCAGTTTTGTTGGTCATGAGGGAGACGAAGTAGATCAGCAGCAATTACACTGGGTGATAAATACTATGCAGTGGGCACTGTGAGCTTAGGTCAGAGAGGTGAGGCTTAACTGCAAGCAGGTTAGTGTTAGGTCCTCCATACCTGAGCCACATACACAGGTCACGTTGTCATAGGTAGTCAAAGATCGGCTTGGCCCTCAACTAGCCTGGGGATGCATGTCCCCATGGGACATGGGGGTGGTTTTCCTTTGTTTGCCACCTTTGGCTCTCACAGTATCACATAGCTCACACATCCACTTCCTTCTCCCCAGCAAACAAAAACATCCTCCCATTCTTTTCTCTCTCACTCTACCACTTCCACCCACGTACTTTTGTCTAATGAAATCGCACTCTTGGTGGATGGGCCTTAAAGCCACAGTGAGAAACCGCTATCCATTCTCCTTCTAAGTGGGACTAACAACATCTCAAAAAAATTCATTATCTTCTGGCTCTACCTCCAGGGAAGGCGAACAAGTGCCACAGATGGCTGGATTTTTTTTCCCCTCTCCCTTTCAATGTAATTATAATTTGAAAAGTGACTAAAATGTATGAGAGGATTGAAATTTTGAAAGTTTCAGAAAATGAAGCATTAAAAGTAATTGTATATTAACACCATTATAAGCTTTCATAATGTGTTCCACAAATTATATCATCACAACATCTTGCACTGTGAAGTCATGGTTAAGTATTATGTTTATTCTGTAAATAAGATAAATGAGATACGGAACGATTAAGTGATTCTTTCAAGGTTTTGTATAACACTAACAACAAAACCGGGATGAGAATGGGAGCCACTTAACTTTGGGACCAGAGCCTTTTTCAGGGGAAATAAAAGGGGGGGGGACATCAAAGATGACTTCATTGTCCTTACTGTGAGACTTTTGTTTATTCGGAACTTAGTTATCTAATGCAACAGCCAGACCTCAATCACAAAGGCAGGACCATGAGTCCAGTACCCAACACAAAGGGGGCATTCAAGAGTTGGCTGATATTATGGCTTGTACGTAGATGTCCTCCCAAAGCCACATATGCTCATAGGTAGAGCTTTTAGGAGGTGGCTGGATCTAGGGTGTGTGAATATGGATCAAGCGTGTGTGATATCTGGATCAGTCCCTTAGTTGGATTGGCGTAGCTCTGGGCATGGCTGAAGGGATCTACTAAAGTCAGAAGCCTCACTGGTGTGAGTGGCACCAATCAATAGACATGTAGCCTAGACGGACTTTAAAGGAAAAGATGGAAAGCAGGCTGCTGCTGCTTGCTGCCTCCTGCGTGCTCTGCCATGTACCAGTTCTCCTCTTCATGCTGCCCTGCCTTGGTTGGAAGCAGCCAACTATGGACTAAAACCTCTATTTATTTATAAAATAAAGTTTTCCTCTGTTAACTTGTAGGTGTTGTTACTTTGTTCCAGAAACACAAAAAAGTAACTAAGAGAGCTCACTCACTGATAGTACCCATATAATTTGTGTATAGAATTTAAAATGCTCTTAAATATTCTGTATAGCTGGTACCTGTAAGTTAAGTACCTTGGTCTTCCCTATTCTAATCTATCTACATCATGCCTCCAAATCAGCTTCCCCAAAATTCATGAAAGTTTTCTGGAAAAAAAAGTATTAATAGAGAAATGATAAATTTCATATGGTCCAACTGCTAACTTATCCACATTCAAGCCTTACACACTGGCCTACTCAATTCCCCAAGCATGACTTGACTTATTGTGTGGTGTGAAAAGCATTAAAGTCTCTACCTGAGTCTGAACCTCAGCTCTAGTGAAACCTGAAGAAAATCAAACCTCTCTGAACTTCACTGGATGCTAATGGGACATCTTTTTCCAATTCATTCATGCTAACCACCCTACCCTGTCCTGAGGGTTACATGGGACACTTCACCAGTTCTACCAGATTGTGGCATATGCTACAGGAAAGGTACATCTGTGCTTCCCTAAATCAGTGGGCAGAGCCTGAAACTAGGGCTGGGGAAGAGGCTGAGATTCTGCATCTCTAACCAGCTCCAAGGTGCTGCTACTCTGGGCCACACTGTGCAGCAAGGAGAGAAGAGGTTAGTCCCTCTCTGTACTTTTCCCGCCTGGAATGACCTCCCTGTTTCTCTCTAAAATCAAACTTCAAAGTTCAGTTCAAGCCCAGCCATCTTTCTAAAGGCTTCTCAGTGAACTCCTCTAGACCAGTCTCCTTAATATCAGATGTAATGGTTAGCTGTATTATTTACTGGGAGAATCTTGCTTTGTATCATTATTTGTGTAGATAGAGTTCAATCCTAATTTCTAGGGAATTGTCATGTACTTTACAAAACAAACTTAAACATAACTTTCTCCAAAACACACGTATACATCATATACACTTTCAAAATTAATTCCTTAAAGAATAGTGTGGTTAAAATAAAGATGAGTTAACCAATAATTCTGGAATGTTGTTTTTGTTCCTACCATTAAGTAAGACTTTGGACAAATTATTTTATCTGCATCTGTTTCTCTCTCTCTCAAGTAAACTAGGAATGCTATCACCTTACCACCCCTTTCTGTTATTTCAGTTTAATTTCAAAGAAATTTAGCAAGCACCTGCATGTTGTAACACATTATATCATGTATCTCAGGTGAGAACAAAAATGGATAAGAAGTCCTCCTTTCTTTCTCCTCATGACACATACACTGAAGTGGGGATAACAAATATATCCGAAGCTATAATACGAGGCAGGTTGTAACGAAAGCTTTGTGCGCCATAGGAGAAATGACATCCATGAAAGCACAAAGAAGGAGGATGTGAATTCTACCCAGGGGAATCAGAAAACAAGTTGTGAATGTGATACTCGAAGGAGGTAGTGAAGGACTGTTAGGAGTTCTTTAAAACAACACTCGGGAGAAGGAATCATTATTTATTACTTCTTCTAAGTCAATTCAAATAATTCGATTCAAGTAAATTAACATAAAAATAAAATGTGGTATCAACAGCAATATCACTTGGCAGATGAGTATTATTAAAAATAAATACAATGTAGCTGATGTGGTGGTACCTGACTATAATTCCAGCACTCAGGAGGCTGAGGCAGGAGATTGTAAATTCAAGGCCAGCCTGGAATCTATAGCTAGACCTGGACTCGAAAAAAGAAAACAGAACAAACAGAAGCCCATAGTATTACACAGCCAAGTGTTGACTAGTATGCTTTTTATTCCAAGTAGGTCACAAGAGATATTTGCAGGCAAGATTTTAAAGGTAGCGAAAGTGAAAGCACAGCACAGCGGTGCCTCTCATCCACTGTCAGCGACTGTCAGGCTCACCCTGTGGGTGTGGCAACCGCAACTCCCTCCTCTGGCTCCTGCTGCTGCT